ATAAAAATCTTTATAAAGAATATTCCATGTGGTCCTACTTCTTGGGAATTTTTAATCGATATTTTTCGATTTGGGTGACAATATCCACATTTTTAGTAGTTTAGTGTAAAGTTTTGATGGGTTGATTTTTTTAACATGGTAAACATTATCTTTTGATATGATTTTATTTTTATTTTAGGTGTATATTTTAACCTTCAAGAGCCACGTAGCTTTGAAAAAAGATAAAATTCTTTTCCAGTTTTTTTAGTTAAAGTGTTTTGAACAGAACATGTTCCGGTAGCGATAAAAACTGTTTCGAAGTTTCAAATAAGTTAAAATATATGTTGTTTTATGTTTTTTTTTAATATATTATTTTAGCATTCTTTTTTTAGAAATGAAATGTGTCATATTAATTATTTATTAAAATTGAGTTTTTTAATTGTGGTTTCAATCTCTCAAATGATTTAATTCACCTAACTAGAATAGTTATAATTATGATTTATTTACCACCATGACATTTCAAACTCTCTACAAAATTTAATTTAATTTTTTTTTTATTAAAAACGAAAAATATAGACTTTTTTACTTTAATGTTTCGTTTAAACCCATCACTACTTATTATATTATTTTTTTAATACCACATTGAAAGCCAGCTCGTTTTCGCAAGTTCTAGAAAGTCTTTTATAGGATGTTGGATGTGAAACCTTTAATTGAAAGTTTGATATGGTTTGGACTCAGTTTAATGCCTAAGCTTATCTTATATGAAGTATAGTATGTTACTATATTCTATCCGTTGGTTTTGGTTACTATACAGCTCATATAAAAATATGAAAACTTCCAATAAAGGCGGCTTTTTTAATACAATTTTTAGAAGGGTTCGAACAATAATGAAGAAAAACAACAAAAATTTTTGATTCATTTATTGAAATATGGCTGACTATATAACGTTGTTTCGAGTATTGCCGAGTACTCATCATCAGTGATCTTAGGAAATATTAGAATTTTTATTAAATTAGTTTAAAGTTTTATTAAATAAAAATTTGAATATTTCCTAAAAACACTGATGATAAGTACGAGTACTTAGCAAAACTCGAAGCAGCGTTGTAACCAGCCAAATTTTAATAAATTAATTATAAATTTTTGTTGTTGTTTCTTCATTACTGTTCGAACGCTTCTAGTTACTTTTCGGCATAAGACGAGTAACTTTCGACAAAAAAAAATCAATGTTAATAAAAAGTTTTTTTTTTTTTTTAATTAAAAAACAGGTATCATCAACCAAAGAATCGCAACATTGATTATAAAATTAAGAAGGACTTCTGGTAGATTTTATTTATTTATCTTAATATTGATTAAGTCCTTTATGTTATTAACAACAAAAATTTTATTTCAGAATTATCAACCAAAGCAAATTAATTTAATTATAAACAGATATTAAAAACGAAACAAAGAATTTAGATAAAAAGAAAAAATTGAAAAAAAAAATTAAACAAAAATTAAAAAAATAAAAATAAAATGAGAAATAATAAAGAAAAAAAATTGTATTGGAAAAATACAAATAAAATTAAAATAAAAAATTAAATTATAGAAATATAAAAAAAGAAAAAATAAATAAATAAAGAAAAAAAGAATGGTTTAATAGTTTGTAAATAATTATCGGATTGCAAGTACCAGGCTAAGAATTTTAATAATAATTTTAATTTTTGAAATTCTTTTCTCTTGTTTATTGTTAAGATACAATAACTTTTAACATTAAACTTACATGTACTTGTAAAATAATTATTTAGAAATTTTTACTCGTGGGTATATTATATATTACTATGTAAATAAATTGTATAAATAAAATGCACATATATTCGGAGAGAATGCAATTATAACTATAAAATGAAATTACATTTTTGCCTTGTGAGTCAAATCCAATTTGGTTAAAACGTATATTTTCCACACTGTTTTTGTACCTATTTGTCATGGTTTTCCAGTTTTAGTTCTAAGCCTGAAATTCAGCAAATTGCTTTAATGCCTCGCTGTGGTTATCGCACACGTTCAACTTAACCACGTTTAAACCTAATTAGCGTCGTTATAGTGCTACCGTCCATTTTATCTTCTGCCGCCTATAGTCTATTTTGGAGATACAAAATTCAATAAACAATTTTGAATTCATTCTGAACTGAAGATAGATACACTTTTGTGTGTATTTTACATATACTGAATTTGCTTCTCAAAAATTTAATTATAAATAAAATTTTCTTAAATTTGTTTAAAGTATCATAAAAAAAGTTCACATACAATATATTTGTTTATTTTGATTATTCAAATTTAAATTAATTTTTTTTCGCCTTATTTGATGCTTCAGTTGATTTTTATTGCAGTTTAATACAATATTTTTACACAATTTTAAATGGAGAATTATTGTGAAAACGTGATCTCTCATAGAATATTTCAAATTACTTAAAATTTTAAAACAACTGAAAAATTGAAACGATTTGTTTGTTTTTTATAGCTTAATTTTTTTTTTGGATATAAATTTTTTATACTTTATTTTTTTTTTAATTTTTTAAGTTTTTTTTTATTTTTTTTTAAATTTTCATTGTGATATACAAATTTGTTCCAGTTAAAGTTTGTTGAACAAACTTTGGACTTTGATAAAAAGTCTGTGAGTTGTTGCACAAATGTTTAAGTTAAAATTAATTTTAATTAAATTTTGAAAACGTGATATATATACGATAAATTGAAATACAACTTAATAAAAATCAAAATTTTCTGCTTTGCGAATTTTTTTATATGGAAAAAATAAATATTTATAACTTAATCAAGAACATGAGGTAGTAAAATTTTTAAACCAATTATTATTTATTTGCACCCTTCTGTAGTAGTATGGATCGTTTATTATGAATACGGTATTTATTCGCTTCTAAGTCAAGTTTTAAGACTTTCATTCAGTATCTTCTTCAGACATTTTGTAAATATTACAAAAAATTTACTACACTGTATAAAAAATTATGAATAATTGATATGTATGACTCGATCTTTATTTAAAAGCGTGCGCTACGTTTAAAAGTTTTGTAATTTTTACAAGTGTTAGTAAAAGTCTCCAAAACCATCAAAATCTATAATGTTATATTCAAAAACTAATACTTAACATTTTTATAACAGTTCCTTCTTTGTAAACTTTTTTTACCCCACAAGTATTACAACTATTGTGAAAGTCAAAAACTAGGGAGCTTTGGTATACTAATCTACGTTTTGGACTATTAATTCAGTTTCATTAAATTGAACTTATAGCTTCACAACTGCAATTCACTTATTTAGGCTTAACACTTTCTGAAATTAGAAAATCCTTATTAAAATTTAAAAAAAAATTTATTAGGTTAGGTTATTATGGTATGGTAGTCAGTTAAATTAAACAACGCGCTGAGACCTTACAGATCCATTTTATCAACACTACTTAAACGGTATCTTAAGTGCTTCTTAATTGTTCATGTTCATGTTGAATCTTTTTTGACTTAGTGCATCTGGGCATTTTTACCCTTTGATAGCTGGGGGGTTTCTGCGGAGTTCCACCCTTCTCACTGACTAATTTATGAATTCCTCAAAAGCTTCGTGATTATGCTTGAAACCATTTAGAAATACTCAATAAACTGCTGACTACTTTACGAAGCTCTAGCTGATTATAACTAGAGCTAGACAGCTGTGTAATAAGCTTTTCACTGCTTTTTTTCATTCTAAGCAATAATTTTCTACTAAATTGTAAGTACGAACTTCCAACCTACATATGTGTCAGCTAAATTAATAGAAATTAATCACTAGAACCTTAAAAAGTCATCAAAAAAGGGTCTTCGTTTGTTTGAACAAGCCCAATTAAACTCTTGAGCGATAAATATTCGGGTATTACTTATATCTATTCTTCGGGGAAGATTAATACTATGTTCGGTTTATTCATCCGCCTTACAGTTTCCCACAATGTCCTTATGCCCCGAAACACATATTAGGCGTATACTAAATATAATGCTAATATATAATAAAATATTTCAGTTGATTGATATATTCTTTATTTTTACTTTCTGGTTCTATATAGTCTCTTATTACACACATGGACTTGGGCTATATAAAAAATCTTGAAAATATGTAGAAAATCTAAAAAAAATATTTTGAGTACTATAAAAAACTCAATAAGGAAATAAAAGTATCGTATATCTATAGGCATCGAAACGAAAAGTTTCGGTTATTATCGATATTTTATATGATCGACTACTTATCAAAATCATTAAGTTTATTCGTGATTTGAGAAACGAATCCAATGTGTTGCCTAGTGTAATTATTCCAGAGAACGAGATGTTTTTCATTTTCTACCGCAACATGTATTTTATTATTGTTCTAATAAATTATTAATACGTGTATCTTATATAGATTTTGTTAAAATGAAAGATTTGTTTATGACTATTGTAATCTTTCTTCTACACAGTTTATACAAATTTTTAATATATAATGTAAATACATTTTATATTAAATTGCATTCCATGTACAAAATGTAAAAATTCACTTGTTTCGGATGGTATTGTCTTGTATTTTAGTAAAATAGCCTGAAATATTATTTTAAGAATAATAAAAATTTTTAAAATATTATTCTTCCGCCTCAACGCATAATTTTGTATATTCCTGATTTCTAATATAACACAGTAAAATGCTATAACGTAAAAACGAACAAGTTCCAAATTAAAATCTTGGGATATAAATTGTATCTAATATCTATGTGATGTATTATATTAAGAAGCTAACTTTTAGTAAACTAGCGGTGACTATATAAAGATTAGATTGTGTATAATATAAATGTTTGTATATTTAGAGTTAACTATGCTCATTTCATAAAGTATTTTCTGCACTTAGATTTTTTGCTAAATTGCAAATATGTACTTAATTCATTTTCTACATATTTAAATTATTTTTTTTTTTGTTTTTTACATTATTTTATTTAATAATATACAAATTATTTATATACATGTCTATATTAAATTTATTTTTTTTAGTGCGAAGCTGTCGTACTGGAAAGTCAGTTCAAATGTCAGAGGCTGAAGTGCGTGGTTTATGCTTAAAATCACGTGAAATATTCTTGCAACAACCCATACTTCTAGAACTTGAAGCACCACTGATTATATGTGGTGACATCCACGGTCAATATACAGATTTGTTGCGTTTGTTTGAATATGGAGGCTTTCCTCCAGCAGCTAATTATCTCTTTCTTGGCGATTACGTCGATAGAGGCAAGCAATCACTAGAGACAATTTGTTTATTGTTGGCATACAAAATTAAATATCCAGAAAATTTCTTTTTGCTTCGAGGTAATCATGAGTGCGCCAGTATTAACAGAATTTATGGTAAGTTTTGTATACCATCTCTTAAAATAATATTTAATTACATTCTCTTTTTGTTTTGAACGCAGGCTTTTATGACGAGTGCAAGAGACGTTACAATGTTAAATTGTGGAAAACATTTACAGACTGTTTTAATTGCTTACCGGTTGCCGCTATTATTGATGAAAAAATATTCTGTTGTCATGGTGGTTTGAGTCCAGATCTGCAAAATATGGAGCAAATAAGACGTTTAATGCGTCCTACTGATGTGCCTGACACTGGTTTGTTATGTGACTTACTCTGGAGTGATCCTGATAAAGATGTACAAGGTTGGGGTGAAAATGATCGCGGTGTCAGTTTTACATTCGGCGTTGATGTTGTTTCTAAATTCCTACATCGACATGAAATGGATCTTATATGTCGGGCACATCAGGTTTGTAATAATATTCAGAAATAAATTAATAATAATATTAATAATAATATTAATAATAATATTAATAATAATATTAATAATAATATTAATAATAATATTAATAATAATATTAATAATAATATTATTCTTATTATTAATAATATTATAGAAATAATATTCAGAAATTATATTATATATATAGCTGAAGGCAGTATATTGTATATACTGCGTTCCATGTTTCAATCAAGACCGTCATATCAAATGTTGTTAGCGATAATATTATGATTATTATTTTTATTTTTTTTTATATTTTTTTTTATTTTTTTTTATTTTTTTTTGATTTCCATATTTTTTTATATATCATATTTTTTTATATATCATATTTTTTTATATATCATATTTTTTTAATGAAAACAACTAATAATAATATATATAGGTTGTTTTAGGTTTACTCATACATCGTGCACTTAGTAAAGGGATCTATTATATTAACATTTATTTATATGCATATTAAGTATAATAGCATAAATAACTAATCTTACAGTTAGTAAGTTCATTTTCTGTAAATTCTAGAAATGTACAGTTTTAAAAAATATTATTTTACTTTTGTACTAAAACTAACGAACATTTTGAGCTGGAAATTAGAGGGACTTTAGAATATCTTTCATTCTTATATTCTATGTTGTCATTAACAGCAATTCTGGAACCAGGATGGTTCTTTAAACACTTCTTCGATTTGTCCAAAGCGTCCATATGCTAATTTGTAAAAAGCTTCAGTATGCTGTATATGATGTCTGCTACAAATATACTTATAGGTATTATTTCAAGAGGTATTGCTTGAAATCAATAAGTCTTGATAAGGTTTACCACTAGCAACACTAACCTAATGCAATGAGCATTTGTTTTAGTTTAAAAATATTTTTTGTTTAAAAAATTAATTTAGTGTAATTTGATTAATTTATTTGATTAATTTTTTATTTTATTTAATTAAAGGTTGTTGAAGATGGTTATGAGTTCTTTGCAAGACGCCAATTGGTAACGTTATTTTCGGCGCCAAATTACTGTGGTGAATTTGATAATGCTGGCGGTATGATGACAGTCGATGATACATTGATGTGCTCATTCCAGGTACACAATAAATTGTTACTAATATAAATATTTTATTTAAAATTTTTTTTTCTAATTTAGATTTTAAAACCATCCGAAAAGAAAGCGAAATATTTATACAGTGGTATGAATTCTTCAAGACCTACTACACCACAGCGTAATGCTCCTTTAATAGCTTCGAATAAAAAGAAATAATATATCCATCCACTTCCGTTTCCTTGAAATTATTTATTCTATAAATTTATATAAAATAAATAACAAAAATATAAATAACGTAAAGAATTAAAAAAAAATCTAAAATATATAAAAAGTGAATTTATAACAAAATCTTTAAAAGTAAAAAAAAAAAGTTGAAAATAATTCGTAATGTTATCACAGAAAATGAATCATTTAAGTAAGATATTTCTTCAACTATGGGACATAATATTTATATCATTTTAAGAATACAATTATAAAATTAGAAAAATAGAAAAACAAAGTAAATATGTCATTTTGATTTTATAATTCTATAATTTATGAAATAGGTTCTTAATATAGTCTAAATTGTTAATAAATAAACGTATATTAAGTGTACATTTATGTGTATTTTTTAATATGCATGCATGTGTTATCTTAATAAAAATCTAACTAGAGTTGAAATTATTATTAAAAAGTTATTCAAAAATAAACAAACATTTTAAATATTTTTAATTAACATTAAAATGATATAAATTAAGTAACATATTGGAAATAGTTTAAGATAAATAATTTTTGCAACATAAAAAAGAAAATTACACTTAAAGTATGTATAATATTTATTTTCTAAATGATTAAGTATTTTATTTAGCTTAAAAAAAGTTTTCAAACTATTTTAAACGGTCTAAGCATTTAGAATATTTTACTTTCTGTCTTAAAAATGATTTAAGAATTCATTTAAAATTCGCTTAAGAAGCCGATATGTTGACTATATGTATTATAAGCTCTTTAATTAATTGCTTTTAAATTTCATTTAATAATTGGCATTTACTATCATTAATCTATGTCTTCAAATAAGTGCACATGCTGTTTAATGACAGGCTAATTTGTATATGTCTTTAAAAGTTTATAAAATTTATTTGTGTATGTATTTATTATACCTCAAAGGCAATGTAATCTAATATTTTATTTAATGTCAAAGGCTTGCATTAACATTTTAATAAATACGGTTGAGCTCTTCTATAACGAAAAGAAAATCTTCCCTATTAATATTTAGTTTCAAGTGTATAGCTTTTCGTTTCACTTTAATCTAATATAATTATAATTTCTGTATCATGAGTTTTTTTATATAAAGAAGTAATTTTCTGATCCCGTGTATATTCGCTTTAAGAAAGCTCGACTATATTTACTGTATTTACTTCATTTAAAATTTTAATATTTAGTAAACTAACTATACTATATATAAATATTATTTGAGCTATTTGAAACTTCAAATATTTTTATGTTTATGTCTGTTCGAGGAAATGCTTTGAGTATAGCGTGTTGCTTGAAAATATTCGAACACCATATTATATTCAAAGAGTTGCTATTATATGTATTTGTATAAAACAAAAGAAAAATAATATTAAATATAAAGTACATTTCGAAAATTTCGAAAACAATCAGTACTTGCATTCGAACATAAAAATGTAGCTAAAGTTCAGCCTATTTAAGCGCCCAGTGAGCAACTCGGAACATCTTAAAAGATCGTGAATATTTTCGAAAAATTTCAATAATCGATCCAACTGTTCGAATTCGACTATTCTCGAACTGTGCGAGTGTCGTAATGTTCAAACAGTTTAAAGTGGTCGTTGACAGCTATTTTACAACTTTAAATTTTAATCTATTTATATGTTAATTTAAAATTACATTAAATAATTATCTTTTCAAACGTATTTGTTGTGTCTAATAAATTTTATTAAAAACACATTAGTGATATAATTAAAAAATATTTAATAATTGATTTGTAATCTTTAGCTGGGACATTAAATAAATAATTTCGTATTACAACATTAATATTTTAAGATTCACTAATATCTTTTATAGGCACTATTATTGGCATTTATAATTGGAAGCGTAAAACAATAAATTTTTCGAAACTAATCTTCCAGTTTTTTAATATATATAATATATAAATATATTGTTTAAGAAGATATGAATTAATAATACACATATATTTTCATTAAAGTTAAGTTCAAGTTAAACAGTCTTGTGCACTATAAATTAGTTTTTAAAATCCAAGTACAAAACGTGCGGTCGACTTTTTATAAATAATATAATAAAATTAAAAAAAAAAGTATTTATATATGTGTACACAATATATACATATAAAAAAGGAAATTTTTTTCAATATTTTAGGTGCTTTAGCATATCTAATAACTTTTTGTTGTCAAAATTGAGTAGATTTATAAAGTTAATACTAAAGAACTATAAAAATTATCGTTAGTTTAAACTAAATTATAAAGACTAAATTATTAAAAAGTAATTTTACTTAAAACACCAATTTTCGCATAAGTTTATTAAAATTTATAACATATTTTATTAAAAAATGAAAATCATCAATCATAAATGGTGTAAAATAATATTTTCAAATAATTTTTTTAAACTTATTAGATGTAGTGCCTTTTTTGCCTCCCTTTAATGAAATCAATTTTCTGGAAGAAAATAAAAAACATTTAAAAAATAAATACGAATATAAACAAAAAGCAACCTACAAAAATATTTAACAAATATTTATATCAATAATTGTAGCATAATATAAAGAATTAATATATATATATATAAATATAAATATAAATAAATACATATAGTAAAATTTACGTAAAACTACTATATATATATATATATAAATAAATAAATAAATAAATAAATAAATAAATAATTGTTTACGTCAGTAACGATAACAGCAACAAGTCAATTAATTTAAGTCATATTCAACGAGAAGAACGCAAAGTTAAACTATACATAAGTTAATCTAATGAATATCATGAAGTACTTGACATAATTAATGATAATTAATCTATTTCGATTTTTTTTTAAGTTTGCATTTCTCGGCCTTACTAATATCTTCAAAAATGTACGTTCATTTGGAGTCGAAAATATGATAACAAAAGTCTAAGGAAAAAATGTACTTTGCAAAAATACAAAAGCCTTGACTTTAAAGCAATTTCTTTGTAGTTGAACTAAAATGTATAGTTAAATTTCCTTTGAGTCGATTAAGTCGACTTTAAATGTCCTGTCTGATTTTGTTAAGTTTTCTGTATTAAAATATATGTCTAGTGTTGCTCGTATATCTTTATAAAAAACTAAACAAATCACTTTATTACCTATTGAAAATATGTTAATATATATTACAATATATATGTAAAGTAAATACCTACTATTTAATTAAAAACAAAAAACAAACTATATTTATGAAAAACCAAGAAGAGAATAAAATTGTATTTCTGAAACTTAAAAAAAAATAAAGTTTTATTCGAAAGAAAAATTAATTTCACAAATAGTTGATAATAGTGCTGTTGTGGTGCACATTATCAATACATACTTATCTATGAGTAAGACCTTGTATTGAGGCGATATCTTGTAGGGGACTGTAGTCGTCGTCATATAGGCATGTATTATCATTGATGATCTTAAAGTTTTTTAGAAGAAGAGAATAAAATTGTATTTCTGAAATTAAAAAAAAATATAATTTTATTCGAAAGAAAAATTAATTTCACAAATAGTTGATAATGGTGCACATTATCAAGTCATACTTATCTATGAATAAGACCTTGTATTGAGGCGATATCTTGTAGGGGACTGTAGTCGTTGTCATATAGGCATGTATTATCATTGATGATCTTAAAGTTTTTTAGATAAAGGATGTGAAAAGCAGTGATCAGTCAGAACTTGTGTCATTTTAAAAAAGAGCCAGAGTTTCCGAAAAGTACTGTTGAATTTTAACTTGGTTCTTGAAAAGTGAGTGCTACCATATTTGCATCACGATACATCTGCTTCCATGGCAATGCTGTTTGTAGGCGAATTTGTATTCACTATTACTATGTTATATAAATTCTAAAAAAAAAGAACTTGTGATTTCTTTAGTATATCGATATGGTAGTCCATTTGTCTTTGATTTCAATATGTGCATTGGTTAGAAGAACATTATATAGAATGGTTTTTACGAAGATGAAAGAGTTTTTGAAGGATAAAGTTGAAGCTGTAGGTGAACTTTCATTTTCAACAGTGCTGAGATATGATTGACTAGCAGTGAAGAGCTGTAATTAAGTCGCTGTTAAATTGGTTTGCGTCCATGTCAGTGCTATGTCTATGGCATATACTTTAGCTTAAAACAACGTGTATTTTTATAACATCTGTTCCTTTCCCTCACCATAGAGATAATGAATAATGAAAGTAGTTCTGTAGTCTTACATTTTTTGTTAGGTTTCGTCTGTATATATTAAATAGCATTGAGCTTGAAATTATCAGCTATCTGATCTTGGGATTCTATCTGATGATACTTAAATATCGGTGGAAATAAATATACTAATAACTACTTTTCAGTTGTGTCTATAAAAATTTTCATTTTAGTCAATACCCTTAGGAAGTTATTCACAATTAGTCTTACTGTGATCCTTGATGGAGTGATGAGATTAGAACAAGGGAATTCCTTTCTACATGATTGTACATTTTTTAACTGGAACTGCAATTTCCATTTATTAACAGGACCGTTCGCCCTTAGTCCGAATATTATAAGCTTGACTGGTGTGGTGAGTAACTATTAGTTGTTGTTGTGGTTATTGCAACCGAGTAGAAAACAATAAAGTCCTTCAAAACGAATTCGATGGTTAGAATAAAATGTGGAGTGAATGTGAGTGGGATTGTGTGAAAAAGCGGAAAAATGAGATGATGGTGCGCCAGTCCACATAAGAACAATGCAAGTATTATTAATCATAAATTGTACTTTCTGTAGCTGTACAGAATACTGCAATACCTTTTAAAGTTGGTTACCTTATTTCATCCTATCGAAAATCCAACCGTTTGTCTTAATTTCTCAAATCAGATTTCTTCTAAAGTAGTTAGTTGAATATACTTTATGCCTGCTGGGGTCTTCTGAAATTGCGCACATTATGTGTTACAACAACAACAACAAGAGTAAATGAAAAATAAATCATATTAAAGATAACTAAAATTCCGCTATGTTGCTAAAGCAAAATTATATAGTAAGAGTCATATATAAAAGTAATAAAAATATTTATTATACAAAAGAATGAAAGAAGTAATTATTTTACATTAAATGGTAGTTTAAAAAATATGAAGGAATTCGAATACTATGAAATTAAGAATATTTAACGTTAGGAGTATCTGTACTTCACTTGATGTTCAAGTAAAAATCTTCAAGAAAATAGTTTCTGTCACTCCAAATATTTTAATAATTTGGATAATTTATCCGATTTAGCATCAAGATCATTTTCAATATTGTAAAAATATTGTTGTAAGAAAATCCAAGGATTTTCGCATGCTGGAGGATATCGTAGCTTGAAGACTTGATAAATTTTGAAACAAATATCAAGCGATACCAGAAAATAATCAAATTTATATAAACTGTCGTTAAAATAAATATAAAATGATTCCAATTGTTGTATATTGGAGCCAATAACCATTAAAAATGGTTGGATGGTTAATCCAGACGAAAAATACTTATTTTTAATATCAAGTATTCGTTTTTTATAGTCATTAATGTTCAATAAAAACATAATAAAACTTTCTTGTGAATCATCAATTGTTGCTTTCTTAGTTCTACTGCCATTTTGACTTCTAAATCTCTGAGTCGGCGGAAGAATTCCACAAAGCAGTAAGGTAATGAAGACATTTGCGGTATCTGTTAAAATAAATGAGTTAACTCAAACGTCATAAAAATTTTATTTAATGTTAATTTTACCATAGGAAATAATGGACTTGTTACCTTCTTCTTTGAGTAATTGCATAAACATTTTACAATTGCTATTATATACATTTTTTTTATAATATTCTTTAATTTTAATACTAAAATGACACCATTTAGAAAATAATTGGTCACTTTTTCCCGGATGAAGCATACCAAAATCACTTTGAATCTACAAAAAAAAAAAAATAAAAATAAAGAATTATACTTAAAGGAACAAAATTGAAAAACATATATTATTATATATCTCGTTATTATATATCTCTTTCGAAATTATAAACTCTTACCAAACTAACCGCTTTAGGAGTAGCGTAGATTGCCCAATTACCGAAAATTTTATCTGAAAAATTTAATTCTGCTAAATGCTTTCCACGGCATTGAAATGTTTCACGGCCAGTATCTTTCTCTTCGTTCCATGAATGATCGGATTTTCTTAAAGACTCCTTAGAGGCATTGCGTAAACTGTTATCTTTAATTTTGATGCTCATTTCAGACATATGTATGAATTTGTTCGATTTCTGCACGTTTAGTTTCATTTTCTTACTTCTCATATTTGAGTATTTAAGGTACAACTTTCCAGATGGATTTCTTTTACTGCTGCGAGAAATATAATAGTAATCCTAGAAAAATGATCAAGAATTTATAAATATATATAATTTTTCTTAAATAATAACTGCCATTAATGACTGCTATATTTATTTACTCAATGTATTCAATTGATTTAAAAAAAGGATTGTGAGAAAAATTACTTATTAAATTAGATGTATATGAATTTTTGTATATATATATAGTATTCGCAGCTCTAACATGCACGAATAGCTTGAAGATTTTTGAACATTTAAAGTTTTCGAAATAAGTTTTCGAAATCGAAGAACGAATTCACCAATACATCTTATTAATTTTAGTTTTGCTCATGATGATGTTGAGCTCAATTCATGACTCGAGGTTTGGACACCAAATTAAAATTGATGAAATATAATAACAAAAAATTTGATTTTGGTTTTGTCTTATGAATGACCTTATGTCTTTAAAGACTACTTAGAAACAATTAACTCTTACTCTTATGTTGTTGTTGTTGTAGCCTGCAAGGATTTATAAAGTAAATAAAATGAAAGGAATCACAAAGACGAATATATCAATCAGGATGTGGATGAGTAATAGTAGTGTGAGAGGATCATTTAGGAGTAAGAATATATTAGGGATAATGGCGAAGGGCGAATAAATCTACTAACTTTAATGGTGTAAATACAGAAATCGGGGTACAGTTGGGGTTTACATTTATGTATGATAAGTATCTTGATCTCAATTGAGCTAGGACAATTCTGCTATACAGGGAAGGTGTCGTTCTTTTTGGGAGATATTAGTTAAGGGCTCAATTGAGAACTCCGTCGCAGTGTAACCATCGTATAGAAGAGGAAATTGCAGCTGTGTAGATCGTTGTTAATTCACTTTTATATTCGACCACACAAATGTTAACACTATTGCAATAGGTATCAATTTAATCATGATATGAAAAAAGGGATACACATATCTCAACTTCAGTCTTGAAAGAGTACTCTGAGCTATATATGTTTTGATATAAAGTTTGAAATCAAAACAAAATAAAGTTAAATTTTTTTGTCTATTTTTTCAGTTGGGATCCTCTTACCGTTGAGAGCTATTATTAAAAAATGTTTGAGTCTCTGAAATCTTGTATAACAATATAATATTTAAAACAGTCAGTTACAGTTGTAATTATGCTATCATCGATCAGTTTCGTTATTATATGAGGGATAGATAAATACTCAAATATTATTTAAAAATTTTTTTGAAAAAAGGATATTTCCCTTATTGGTGAGTGAGTTCACAGTTAGCTTCATCTATAGTTATACAATTATACTATTAATAATAATTACCCTATACATTGTTTCAGTTTTGAAAACTGACACTATTTCATCAATTAAGGCTGCATAGTCTTGTGGTTTTAAGTTGATGTCATGTGTAATTAAATCCTCCACTATAATCTTGATTAATGTCTCTCTTTTTTTATAATTTAATCCTTGGTTCTCACAATAGGATAAAATAAGTGCTTTACCTTCTGGACTGTTGTTAAGTAAATCTCTTAAAGGCTGTAGGACAACAAAAAATAAATAATAATTTTAATGCTTTTAGTTTAATGTCGGTGGTGAAACCATGCGAAGGAATAAAATACTGACCTTACTCAATATGTCTCGTAATGGTGTAGAGGATATAGCTGTGCTTAACGAAAATGAAGTAGAAGTTTCACTACTTGTATTCTCATTCATCCCATCATTGTTTGACTGATACTAAATTGTGACAAAAAAAAATTTGTAAATTTAATTAATCTTGTACAAATAGACCTACTTCTCCATTTTTCCAGGAGAGCAATTTTTCCCTGAATTCCATACGTAAGCCAAGAGGTGGTATTGCTTCTTTCATATCATCATAATTCATGTATTTTAAACTACGATAAGTCACCTTTGCAGCTGAAGTGCAGAGTGTGATGAAGAAAAAATAATGGGTATATATAAACGTCTTACCTTTTAGATAGCGTAAGACTTCAACTAAATTAAATTTTTGGAGTAAAACAAGCAGCTGCTTCTCATCATCATCATGAGAGGATGTGCAGACGTCATCATTAATTATTTGATTGTCAGCCTGCTGTTTACTTAGTCCACTTTGTAAATATTTATTTGCGCTATTCATAATGTATATGAATGATCTTCTGTAAAAAAACAAATTGTTTCTCTTTAGTCTTTTCTTCTAATGTAATTTACAAAGACAAATTTTTGACACGGCAAAAACGAAAATTTGAACGAACAATTTTGTTCAAACGTTCGTGCCGGCTCATTCAAAAATTACAAGGTTACCATATTTTTTATAAATATAGACATTCAAAATTTAAGACAATAAATAAATATAATGTGATACGTTCATTTTATTATTACTTATTCTACATATAATGTATTTACTTAATAATTAATATGTTAAGAGCAAAGAAAAAATTATTTTAAAGAGACTTCAAATCCCGCAAAAGGTTATTAAAATTTTAACATGTAGCAAACTTATCATCATTATTATTAGTGGCGCAGCGATCCTAGTTGAATCTTGGCCTCCCTTTGATAGTTCCTCCACATATCTCTGTCGTTTGTAATCATTCTTCAGTTTCTTCTTTCAAGTTGTTGCGCTGTTCGGTCCACATTGTCTATCCAGCGTAAACTCAGAGGTCCTCGAATGCTCATTCTTCATTCATTCTGTCCAGCGCATTGTAATTGCTTTAGTTTTACTCTCTTGCTTATTGCTGGTTATCCTAGCTCTTTTTTGTGACATTCGTTATTAAATCTCAGCCCGATAGGTGCCGTCTTCTTCTCTAATTGGACCAATCTTACGTTCGAAGATATCTAGCTTATTTTCATCAAAATAAGTCCCTGGACCATTCATTAAGATTGGAGATGCCTTGGAGTTAGCGTTTTATATATTCTTAATTTTGATTTTTTAGTAAGCATATTTGAACCTAGTGCTTTATATAGTCTACCAAAGCTTTTATTTGCTGCTTTTATTCTTTCATTTATTTTCTGATTGCAGTTATTGGTTGGGTTAATTACTGGTCTAAGATATTTGAAGGATTCATCTTGCTCGAAACTGTTATCACCTAGTTGAATTAGCTGATTTGAGGATTGACGATGACTTAAGCATTTCGTTTTTCCATTTCATCTACATATATTTTAATTTATATTATCGGATTTAAATTTCTTTTATTTTCTTACCTGAAATAATTTTTGACTAGAGCAAAAAGATAAATAAGTAAGAAGTAATATAAATGATTCTTATGACAAAAGCATTTCTATCAAACACTATATAATACGGTCTTTGTTTCTGTTAAATAAATTTCAATATAAAGTACAAAATGGCAAAGACCGTATGTGTACGGTATATGTTAAAAATTTGTTGAAATTCGCACGAAAGCTATTAAAAGCTTTAGAGCTTGTGTATCTCCGAACTTAGATTTTATGGTAAAAAAGTTGCTAAAAAAAGCTGCATAAATTAAATATTTTGACTTTAAAATTTTTTTGATTTATTAAATGAATTTATTTTAATTGCGTTTATGAAAATTGTTTCATATTGTCATATCTTATTTTAGTTTCATCTATATATGTATTCAGCTTTCTAGTTGTTATAAACTGTTCTAAAATGTTGACCATTCACAATAGCATAAACACACAATTTTTTGATTTAAGCTTTACCTAGTCGGTACGTACGGTAAAAACTTAAGCGAACTTAAGCCAAACCGAAATGCACAACGAACGATATCTAAGTATTTCGCTTTAACTAATTGAACTATTACTGTTGTGACTGTTTTTTAAAATTTTAAATAAAAAGTCATTTTCGTTCGTTTCTGTATATATTCGAATTGTGATATTGACTTGAATTTCAAACAGAGTATGTCGAAGAAATCGAGCGATCAAAATTACAATCGCTATCATGATTACTTATGTTGTGTGAATAAACTATAAGTTAATTATAATAAGTCCAATTGTATTTGTTTTAATATGATAGAATTTTCACGAAAAGAGCAAATTTGATATGGGAAATCCGATTAAAATTAAATATTGCAAAATTGAAATGAACATTTGTTCATATATCTATTGCTCATGTATTTCACTTAAATACAATAATATGTATATATACAGATAAATATATACAATGTTTGTTATTGCATGAATATTCGTTAATATTGCAAAGAATTATGCATTGTGACAATTGACTTGACTCAGTGACTTGTAACTCGAGACATTTTCAAAATCCATCTTACCGCCTTGACTAGATAATTGTTTATCACTTCATCAGACTAAGCAATAATTGACCTCAGATCTGCATACCTCCCCGAGGAGCCTGTAACCATTCTGAGATTTGATAACGCGGTGTTGGTAAGTCTGTCAGTTTTCGCAAATAATTTCAGGGTTCTATCCTTTATGTATTTTTTGATTGAATCAATCTTGAGATCCCTGAGGATGTCATTTGTTCTAATGTATCATGGTACTTTAAAAAGTCTTCTCAGAGCCTGGCTTTGTGCAATTTCTAGCTGGCGAATAGTAGTGTTTGAAGCTCTGCTAAACGCTACACATCCATATAGAAGTGACGGACGAATTATTTAGTTATATATCAGTCTCCTGTTCTTAGCATTGAGATTTTTATTTCTGAATAGCGGTTGGAGGTAAAACCACTTTTCACAGCATTAATCCTACTATGAAACCCTTCTAAGTAAAATCCCTATACAGGGCTCTGTTGTCTCTGCTACAATTATTGGATATATTCCAAAATGGACTCACGCAAGCATTTTGCATAAATGCATGTATGAATCAGAAATATATATTTAATATATATATATAATAAATTTCTCTGATATTAAGGTATTTGCTTTTTTCATATAAAACGAGGAAAATAGCATAAAAACTTTGTTGTTGTTGTTACGAATATTCAGTCATTAGTTTACTCATTTAATAGACTATTATTAGTATTAGTTAAACCACTTTATTCTTATATATATATATTTTAATTAAGTAGACATTTACTTCTTACTTATTTAAGTCCACATTTATTCAACTTATTTATTTATTATAACTTAAAAACAGTTTTTAATAGTACAATAATCGTTAAAGTGCTTAATAATATCAACATGCACGCCAAAAAATACCTTTTTTATTTTTTGATTGTTTACGTACTAAACAGCGATATATTTGTTTTAATTGAGTCCAGCTCTATACAAACATATATTTATATTTTTATATATATATCTACATTATTTATATTGTATATATTAATTACAATTAAGCTAAAATTATAAAAATGCATCACAAGAAATTTACAGAACAGTTTTTCATAATAATAGTTACATATATTTTCAGTTTCACATATCAAGCAAATCTAATATAAATAACATTTTTCTTTATAAGTTATGATTTTATTGTAGTTTACTAATTTAATTTTATTTTATTATATTATATATAATTGTTCTAATATATTTTAATTATTTTATTATATTACTAAAATATATTAATTCAAATTTTTTATATCATATATTTTTACTTTATTATTGTATTTAAATAAATTTATTTTTATTTTATTTTATTTTTATTAGTATATTTTTATTTTACCTTATGATATAAGATTTTTTTAATATTAGCTTAAATATTTATATCAATACTTAGGACGTGTGCGAGTTAGGCTAAGTTGATGCTAAACCAAATGGGAGATTTTTTTTGGGATTTTTTGCACTGCACACATTTAGCCATTTATCAACACGTATCGACACATCACTACATTATCGGAACAACTTAGAATTTTCCTCATTTATAACGCAACTAAGGGCGTGTGCGAGTTAGGCTAAGTTGATGCTAAACCAAATGGGAGATTTTTTGGGATTTTTTATACTGCACATATTTAGCCATTTATCAACACATCACTACATTATCGGCTCAACTTAGAATTTCCCTCATTTAGAACGCAACTTAGCCTAACTCGCACACGTTCTTAGACTTAATCGCACACGTCCTTATATAGTATTTATAAAAACATGTAAATTTATGTTCTCAATATTTGCATTAAGTTTGTAATAAATGCCTTATAGAAAGAATTTAAAACTGATTGTGAAAAATTTTAAATTATTAAAATATATAGAAGAATTAAATAATTTCTAATTTTTTTGCTGTGACATTTATTTATTTAAAATACAACAAAAAAACTGTGCTATGTTCCAGAACCATGAAGTATTTATCACTACGTTTATGCCAGAATCAAAAGGTCTTTAAACATTTTTAAAATCGGTTTTGATCTCGCGTAGAAACCTTTCATATGTCAATTCATATAAAACAGCTGTTCAGGGTAATTTCAGGGTAATTTTGTTAGCAAAGAAAATCTTCTTTACTTGTTATAGTATGTTTCCACCAGTATTGTATGTTAGACCAGTTAACTTACTTAAGATTGCTTGAATTACTTGAATCTCCAGTAAGTTAACTGGACTAACAAAGCCAGTGAAAACATACTATTAGTCAGCCAAAATATTTAGAGTGCTATTAATGGATCTCGAGTGTTATCAATCGGGATTTTCGTTCGAAATTTACCAATCGAAAAAGAAAACTGCATTAAAAATGAAAAATTGAAAAAGCTCTTGTGGATGATTTACCAATTGAAAACGGCAAAAAACGATGTTTGTTTTTAAGCATTGCGTAAACATCTTAAAAATAGTTTTATAGTATGTTTCCACTGCTTACATGTTAAGTTTAACGTACTAAGCAAGTTTCACCTAAAAGCAATTTTACATGAAATAAGTATGTTAATGTAAACGACAAAACCTTAAAATTACTTAAGCAACTTATTAAGTAAGCTGTGGAAACATGGTAATAAAACAGATTATAATACTCACGTTAATATTGGACGGTATTTGGTTATAGATTTTTAAGCACTAGGATTTCACCAAGGACATATTTGATACAGTTTTTATAAAATTATATGTAAATTTATTTATAAGAAGTATTGTAGAATAGAATTCATATAATTCAATTACTAAATAAAATTAACAACAATTAAAACTTTAAAAATGCATTCAGTAAGAAATTGATATTCAGTTTATGAGGATATTTTGAAGCTTTTATCTACAAAATATTATTAACAAATTTTTTGATTTTTTTTATAACAATTACATATTATAATGTAATATATGGTATATAATATTATACAATAATCAACGTACACCTCTACATATTAACATACATCTTAAAATATAAATTTTGTTATGTATATAATATACCTATTTCTTTATAATCATAAATAAAGTGTTATACATATGTATTATTTAGTACATTTTGTATTGTATATATAAATATGCATATATACATATATATGAACATGAATCTGTAGTTTAGTTAGTAGGAATACTGTAATTCATATCCTGCATACCGCAGGCTTAGTTATTTAATTTTTTTTTGCACAACTTATGCAGTTGCTATGGATATTCATGTATTTTCAATTAGACTTAGACGCATATTTAATTTCAAAACCTTTATTTTAACAATGCTTAGATATGTGCTGAATGTTTTAGTAAAACCTTTTAATTAGTAGTCAGTATTGAAACCTTAGTAATTAGACAAATAACATCTTTTTTTTGCCTTAGTATAATATTTGCCTATTATACTTATATATACATAAGCACACGAATTAGTTTTATAAGCCATTCAAAATAAAATATCATAGAATTCTATGTTTTCGTTCTAAACTACGATGCATTAAAACCGTTTTTATATTTGTTTTATTTTAAATCAGTTCTAATTTGGAACAAAACAATAACCATTTCAAATAATATGATTTATATTTTGTGAATAAAATTATTTATCTTAATTTATCTATAATTAATTTTTCTACTTTAATTACTTCTAATTTACATAAATTCAACAAATATATAGATATTATACTTTATATTTATAAATTTTTTTTGTTATTATTTGCGCCTTTTGAAATTTTTATTATTTCATTTATTTTTATTCAATATTTCAATATTTTTTACTTTGTTTCCTGTTGAGGTTTTGAACTATTTTATAATAAACTTTTACCGTGACAAGATTTCATTTATGGTATTACGGAATCTTTACTAGGTTACTATAAGTGTTTGAGTCTGAAAATCTAATTGTGGTAACAATTGTTTCCTGAAAAATATTTAATTAATTTTTCTTTTATGAAAAATATGTTTAATAAATGAGAATCACACATTATTGACTTCCTCAAGTATATTTGCATCATCAGCAACACTATCTTCGTTCATATTATGCACCTGTGCTGCAGCAACAACCACTTCCGCATCCGCAGATAGATTACCATTCGTCTCTGTCTCAACCGCAGCTGTTGTGTGTACCTGTACTATGTGTACATTTTCCATTTCTAAACTACTTGAAAAATGTGAGTCCTGTTTCTCAAGACTTGTTTCAGCAGTGGTTGGGTTTGTAATTTCATCCAATTCTTCCGCTTGCAGCTGATTTTCAGTTTCTTCATCCAAATCTTTTGCAATAGTTTCACTACGAACCAGTCGTCGTTTGTTGGTTGAGTTTTTATGTACACCACCAACAGCAGCCGCTGTTGTTGGTACTGGTATAGTGAAATCATCATCAATCGATTCAATAGGATCTAATGTGTGCGTTGTTTTATATTCACGATCTATTGTAGTTTTGCTGAGAAGTTTGTTTTTATTACCATTCTTTCGATTAAGTGGCACATCATCTAATGCTAATTTCTCTATTTTCATATCACTTAATTTATGCGCATAATGGTGACTCTCATCAACATGCACCAACATGAAAGGTAATTTCAACGACAATTCACCTCCCATGCCGCTGAGTGTAAGTTTTACTTTTACATAGTATGAAACATATATGGCAAATACATTGCGATCATCAGCTACATTTCCACTACCCGTGTTATGGTGCCCATGTACTTGAGATTGTATAGCATGTGGTATACCAACTGCTGGACTTGGACATGGATTTGGTGAATGTCCAGGTGGTAAAAATAAATTTGGTGAACGTACTGCTGAAGCTGCTATGGCACCTGTAATCTCATCGGGTTCCGTGCTGCGTTGTAAAGTATCTTCAAGCGCAATCCAATTTTTTGTTGGACCTCGCTGAGGTTTTAATATGACTGTTGCATTTAAAGTAGCTCCTGGCGCTACTGTGCGATCTACTGTGGGTGAATGTGAGTCAGAATCGGCAACGACATTTTTAAATTTACCATTATTGAACATGCACACATCTACGTGTTGAATGGCACAGACCTATGGAACATAATAAAAGGTTTTAATTAATTAAAAACCATTGACAGAATATTGCAAATATTGTTTATAAGGGTTTCTTCTAGTCAATATATATTATATGATTCGTATTAAAATATGAGCATCTCAATGACATGCTAGAACTGAATATATCGAAAATAGATAATAAGAAGTGGGTTTCCAATTCATATTTGATTTTATTATTTTAAAAATAGTTTATTATTTAAATATATTCATTATAATATTTTTTTGTTGTGGTTCCAACATTACAAGAAGAATAGTTTTTTAGACATCAGTTAATCCAAAAATGAGAGGTATTTATTAGAATAAAATGATTGTTACATATAAAAGATATAGTTTTAAGTATTTGAGGACAAAAATCAAACAAATAGTAGGTAAGATATTTTCAATGTTTCATTTTTATAAATAAAATATATAATTTATATGCAAAAATATATAAATAAGATTATATATCAAATATATATTTGATGTCATTGTATAATATCAATTATTAATTAGCAAAAAATATTAACATTTCAGTTGGATATTAACTGAAATGTAAACAAACAAAAGCTCTCCTAGAACTTCCATGCAACTTTCTGACACATTAAAGGTCTTTCACATGTATACATTAACTTATGCCAAAGGAAACGATCAAATCTTAATTTGATTAACATAAATGGATTTAGCTGCAGTGGAAACATGTAATATAAGCTTTGACATTCATTTAAAATTTCTAATCTCATGTAAGTTTCAAAGATTTAATTTCTTCCTGTTACTCTCCAAATTTTTTTTATATATGCTTAAATGTTTATTGATATATTTCGTATTTCGATCAATGATTAGTGCTGTTGATCTTCTATAATATTTGAATTCACCATAATAGATTCGGTTCATACTAACATTATATTTAGTAACATTACAAAGAGGTTCAGTGTCCAGCGTACTATATCTTTTTGACAGCCTCGTAAAAATAAATACTTATGTCATATGTAGAATGTAATTGGTAATTATTGACGCACTTGTAAGAGTGATAGCTGTATGAAGTTCAAGGAGGATAACCTTCAATTAACTAATGGCGTTTTTGATTGGTAAATCTGGATTCAATCTAGATTTACTCTTGATTTGTGATATTTTGTTGTTCAATTGAAAACTTTTATAGTAATTTAAGATTTTTTTAGTCGTGTTAGTAGATATTTTCATTTTTCACAAATACATATGTATATCGATTTAAATTACAAATTATCTGTTAAATCATATAAAACAGCTGTAATCTTGTTACTCTGGCAAAATATTTAGTGTGTTATAAATTAATCGTGAATGTTACACATTTTGTCCCAGATTTACGAATCGAAAATAAAATTGCATTAAAAGTGCATTAAAAGAACTTCTCGATTGAAAAAATTACCCCGGATTTATCAATCGAAAACGCCATAAGAAAGTCATTTTGATTACATATTTTTTGTAATTGTGGGAAGAAAATTAGAACCAATCAGAGACATTGCTATATACAAGTATCTGGCTAAGTATCTATTGGACACATCGCTGAGTGTATTAAAAAATGTAGCGAACTAAAGAATAGTGATCTTCTGGGTGAAACTACTTTCTTATTCCTTGTTACACCATTGATGCTATTTGTAATATTGCCAAATTGATTAATTAGGTGTTCAGTTTTTCTAGATCTACTATAATCGTGCTGTATTAGAACTAGTGACAGTCAATGCTAACATGCTTTTTGAATTAACGTAAAATTGATTCAACCAGTGTGGAGTTGTAGGTGGTTCACTATTATCGCATGTTAGTATAACTACAACATTTTGTGTGATTGTACCAGTTTCCATTCCACCTGCACTACGTCCATGCTTTCTGGCTTAGATAACTCAAATCTTCTCGCTCATATCTATATCCACTGTTTACTGGAATGAAGATTCCACATTGCTGTGGAAATCTTCTCCAATCATTCCTAACAGGTGTTTTCAGTTGGTTCAAGTCTCACACTGTGGTTTTCAATGCTTTACACTTACCGGAGGAAAAAAAATAAAAAATTCTGTCAGTTTTCTAATAACCCTTGACCACCTTTATCAACTCACTCATCATATTTGCAATTTTATATGTGCAAACATTAGTATCTAATTTGATTTTATAATATTTTAATATATGAAACCAAAACTACTTATAGGATATTTAAATTATTTTGGGTGAAATTGCTGAATCATTTCAAATATTATATTTTAATATGAAACAATTTCATTATGAAATAAGGATACTCACATATCATCGTACGTACACATATGTGTGAACATTTGTATATTGAATTCCTGTCAGGTAAATTCTGTTAGTTGAACCTTTTCTAATAAAAGCAATAAATTCTGAAGATTTTTCGAGGGCAGGTTAAAAGGTTTTATATTCTGCATTATTAAGTATGTGCTTTAGTTTTCTTTATGTGTTGTTTTATGGTCGATTTAGGCATGTTTACGAGATTATTAAGAGCACTTTAAGTGGTCCTTCATATAAAATTCTGATGTTATTTTTATGCTTACTTGAGTAGGTTTTAATATCTCAACTGCATTTTGACTGACTTCATTTGCTCACAATGTGCGTATTGTTTTCCTCTACCTCCTGCCTTTGTAAAGTTTTTTATCATCTTCACATTAGGCATTGTCAAGGATATTTCAAGTACACTTTCTAAGGTAGCTTCGGTAAGCAATTTCCCTTCACAATTTATCTCACAAATAAATGTATAAACTCCTCTTACGCTTAACGCGATGTTTATAATGCATGAGTTTTATGACACAATGTCACAAATACATTCACATAAATTCACACACAAATACTATACATACAAATTTACATATAATTGATACACCAGAATTTGGCTACAGTAAATTGGGCTCGATTTCCGAAACATTGATTTCAACTAACATTTTGAATATATTTCAAGAATTGTATTGTGTGATTTGCCTTGCCATTGTGTGTATGTGTATGTGTATGTGTGCGTGTATCTGTGTGACATTAGCTTTCGAATTGGCAATCTGAACAATTTTATGTAAGTCAAGCCACAAATCAAACAAAATCAAATCAAACCAAAATCATAAAAGTATTTTATGTACATAAGTACGAGAATGTGTGCATATATATATATATATATATATATATATATACATATATATGGACACGGGTACAAGGATACGATATTTTCCCTTTCTTCACAGGTTGGTTTGCTTTTTATGCGATTTTGCGATGTTAGCGGAGCTCTGCTTTATGACTTCCATTCGTTTTTTATTACTTGACGTCCTTTCCTATTGTTGTTTAGGGATCCATCTATTTTTCCTCATTTATGCATGTATATTTTTTTAGTTTAATGTTAGTTATGCCATTTACGACCAAAATACAGTAATCGAATACAATCAAGTTTGGCAAGTCAATAAATCTGATTACGATTATTAGTTGCGTACAAGAAAATTGCAACAAATTGACCAAAGTCTCATTATTTTTACAATAATAGTAGACAATTAGGAGCAAAATACTTTCTTTTTCTATTCTTAAATATTTAAAGCAGTGGTTCCCAACTGGTCGTCTACCTGTCGTTAATGGTCCGTAAATCAAATTTAACATTATGGATATAGTATAGTTTGTCCATTGAGACCTCACTTATTAGAAAACAATTACAAAAAATTTCCAACTATGTAATTATATATCTATTTTATAAGCTATATAATGTACCTATGCACTTATACAATTCATAATACATTACACCACAGATACATAAAGTATCTTAAAACATTCATACAGTATATTATTCTTAAACTTTGTGCTCCCTATTAAACAGAAAAATATCATAGTGGTACTTGGTCAAAAAAAGGTTGGGAGTTAATGATTTAAAGGAATAAATATTTCATTAATATTATAACAAAAAACTTGACATTTATTTATCTCCACTTTGATATTAATTTCCTTATAGTATATAATAAACTTTCTTTATTCATATAAAGCACAGTTATATCTTCTGCTCAAAAAGTACTCGGATTTTGTAAATAAAACATGCAACTTTAAATTTTATTCCAAATTTTATTTTATCTCCCTTATCTCCTTATCGATACACATATGCCAACGCTTAACCCAATCTTCCATACACTTATCGTAGGTCCGTGAAGGTATGGCATTTAGTTCCTTCAGCGAATTCTCTTTTACCGATTCAATCGACTCAAAACGCTTACCACGAACGGGCAATATGAGTTTCGGGAACAGGAAAAAGTCGCACCGATCCAGATCTGACGAATATGGTGCCTGAGCGATGACTGTGGTGCCGTGTTTGGTCAAAAAATCGCGTACAACAAGAATTTTCCATAGTACAAATCGCTAAATGCACTTGAGGTAGTCTCACATTAACATCTGCTGTAAATAAACTAATTGGCGCTCAAATTTGTACCATATGTCAATAAAGGGTGTACCAACATAACAAAAAAATTTTTGAAAAAGTTCTATTACTTAAGGAATAGTTAACAAACAACAAAATCCGGATACTTTTTGAGCAGAAAGTAGTTGTTATAGTTGTTGGTCGAAAGACTGCTCTACATCCCAATTGCCTACTGAGCCCATAGTAGCACCTATTGGCAATAGTTAACAAATTCATCGTCTGATCTTCACGTTAGCATCAGTATGGTTCTTTACGACAATGTCAAGATAACGTATATGCGATTTTTGACAGTTTCGAGAGTATAGTCGCTTTAAGTCAATTAGAGGTAATAAAACTTCTTAAGAACTGCAATGTAGATTTACTATTTCCTATAAGTTATTTGTATATTTAAAGGCATATTTCAAGGTTGTTGCAGTCTATATTCATCAAGGAGTGTTCTTGCAAGGAGTGTGGTAGCAAAAGGGTGAAAAATCGCTAATTGAGATACATGGAAAGTCTTAAGTCTTTGTTTATCCATACATAACATTGAAAAATCAATCATTGTTTATGAATCGGTTGTGGGCACGATTGATGGTAACGCATGTAG